AGGCCGCTGAGTCCTGAACAACCTTCCCTGATCGCATAATGACTGCTGTTATATGGAGACTCCCCAGCTAATCTGCAACACCCTCTCGCTTTTATAGCCCCTCACGCCTCCCTCCCTCCTAGCACCTTTAACATCCGCCAAACCGTCCCTGTCTCTCCAGTTAACTCATATGAAACTAACCCTTGTGCCCTTTACTACCGCTCTTGGACCCACGCTTTGTGGCAATAGATGTACACACTGCAAAAAAATGCTATTAAAAATCATCATACATCAATATTTGGCATCATCTCCATGGGCCGCTGGCATGATGCCGGTGGCTTGTTTTTGAGTACAAGCACACCACCGGCAGGAGGGCCAATGTTTTCAAAGACAATGAAACACATCCCTTAAAAAATGCAATTTCTTTCACCTCCCCTGAAAATTATTAGTGCGGGATTAGCAGAATTTACACTCTGCCTGCTCTCTCCCTCCTCTCTCACCGACACACCACACACCACACACACACACTAACACACACAAAACTCTTGGGGCCGCACCCTGTTAATCACAATATACAGAATTTTTATGCATCGGCCCTACAATAGGCAAAATGGTTGATTGGAATACAGTAAAAAGTCAAATATCACTGCTTCCAAAGAAATGGTGAATTACAGAATGCATATACTGTAAATGGCAGTGAGAAATTAATAAAAATGTGGTTTCAAATGGAAGTCAAGTGAAGTCAACGAAGGGAGTCCAGAGGGAGATATTGAGAGTACAAAAAAATACTAGTGGCGGCAATCAAATGCAATTTTTGTTTGCTGAATCTTTGACATATCCAAGCTGCTAATCACCACTCAAAGCCCCATGCCCCTACTATTTATTATATGGAAAATATTATATATATATTTTAATGTCCCATAAATAAATCCTAAAAATTGGTTGTAGTTTTGGTAAGGGGTTGCCAGAGGGTGGCAAAACATCCAACAGAGTATAAAAAGACATGTAAGGAGTAAAGACATTGGTTTTTAAACCCGTTTGCTAAAAAAAATGTTCTTGCAAAGATTTATGTCACAAAGCTGTAACAGAGGCCAAAATGATCATAAGAGTTAACAACTGAGTTGAACTCCAATAGTCATCTTTCATAATGGTGAAACTGGTTGCGCTGCTTTTATGGGTAATAATTAACTACGGGAAGGCTGGCACCCAAAATAGCCAACATTAATCACCTGGTTCTTGAATTGCCAAATGTCCATCGTTTCCTTGCACACCACTGTTTGATATACCCTTTTAATATCCAAAGCATACCTGGTTAGCATATTTATGCTATGTTCAAGGACCTCTCACGTTTGGAAAACCTGGTTAATACCTGGTCTCAATCTTAAAATGGAACATCTGCGATTGATATCCCTGAATAATTACATCCATAGCCCGATATATTATGATCCAACCAAAGTTTTGTTACGATCCACCAAAAGGTTTATGCAGTGGGCTTTCCAATGTTTAAAGTGCAAAATAATCTCTCAAAGGTAGGTAGACACCCATTGAGTTTTTAAAGCTTTGACATGTTTTTGTCATTTCCTCCATGATCAAATCCCCAAATAAGAATCCTCCTCCCAGGGACTCGACCAAATTGGAAGAGGTTAAAACTCAAATGCTTTTTGACGTTAAAGTTTTGCATGTTGGCCTGATCCAGTGGAAGACTGTCTGTGGACCACCAAACATCCAACCCTTGAAATCAACAAGCCATAATGTTATTCTGTCCCTGGTAGCACATGGTGATCAGCCATAACAATTATATTTTATTATCCCCTTCTCAGTGTGAATATCACTCAATCAAAGTCTTTTGTAATAGGACTGAAGATTGATCAAACAAACAGGTTTTGAATAATATTTCAAGATTCCCTGTTGGCCTTTCTGGTCTTTTCCTCTCTGACTTTTCTGGCTTATGGATCACCATTGTAAGTTGACCTGGCTTAGCTTTTCATACAATTCCTTGAATGTCTGTTCAAAGAGAAAGAGGAGGTTGAAGGAAAAAGACAGGACAGAGTCAGCTGGAGGAAGATGTATGTGCTACCTGCATGCATGTAGAGGGTAGCTACAATGTGCAAAAAGATTTGTGTGTATTGTGCAGGAAGCACAAATATTAGATGTGAACTCGATGAAATGCTGTTACCACATAGAGAAGCATTTGCATTGCCAATGCAATTTTTATTTCCATTTCTGATTTTAGTTTGCAACAGACTTTTTATCTAATAATTGGAAACAAACAAAAAAAAAAACAAGGCTGGAAAAACTTTGATGGTTTTTGTTACAAAAATCAAGGTATATTTTAAATGATACCAGTAAACTGACCTAAATATTGCTTTGAATTTACACAGTGAGGCTTGTAGACACAGCAAACAGAGTCCAGAACAATGATGAAATGTGTTATTGAACCAGTACAGAATCTTAGTCAAGATAATCAATAGATCACTTATTATGTATGAAGTCCATGCTAGAGCAGAAGAGAAAACGTTTAACCAAAACTTTAACACACAAACAATTCTATTTTCTTGCTGCTCTGCAGGCAGGTGATGTCTGCCCCCAACTTGTTGCGGGTAGGAACGCCAGAAAACATCTTTGTGGAGTGTCAAGACTGCACTGATGATAATAACATCACGGTCGAAATCACCGTAATGACTTATCCAACCAAATCCAAAAGGCTGGCATCCACATCTGTTATTCTTACCAGTGCAAATAAATTCCAGGACTTTGGACAAATAAAGGTAATGTAGAATTACTGAAATATATGTTACTATTTTATTGGCAAAATATATATAAAGCCTACTACAAACAAAAAGAAAAAATATTTTTAAATGTACTATCTATGAATGCACATGATATACTCTGCTCCTGCTCCTCATAAACTCTTTGAGTCTCTACATGAACCACTGGTTTCAGATCCCTGCTGTTGGCTTCAGTAAGGAGCCCAACGTGAACCAGTACGTGTACCTGAAAGCTCAGTTCCCTGATGTTGAACTGGAGAAACTTGTCTTAGTGTCCTTCCAGTCTGGGTACATCTTCATCCAGACCGACAAGACCCTCTACACCCCCAACAGCAAAGGTGTATCCAGAGTCACTTCTTGGAAACGTATACTTAAATGAAATCACAGAAAAGGCACTGAAGTGAATAAAAAGAAATTTGGTTGCTACTGTAAATCTATACTCAAGTAAAAGTATGATTACTCCCATAAAAATGAGTTAAAGTTAGATATTTTCCTCTGATCTCCTGCAGCTTCTCCGCCTCAACTCTCAGGGGTTGACGGAGTTTACTGATGGACATTTACTTGTAGTTATTAGCAAACCACTAACTACTGCTAATGTACTGGGAGCTTGAGGCACCAGCACTCCTGGCAGTCCAAAGCTCCTGTACTACACACTGCCTCGGAGCTCTGTGCTCCCAGTCTAGGCAGAGTCACTTATTAGGATGGCTAGGTTAGCTGCAGTGCTAATAACAACTAGGCTATTTCCATCAGGAAACTCCGTATATCACTTCAACATTTTCTCCATAAAACATGATCCAGTTTCCCCAAAATCAATGAATTTATAGTTGTGTGCTTTTGTATAGTAATCAGTAACGCGTGGTCCCCAGAAACACTCCACTCCGGTGGCATTTTGCTCCAGTGGTGGTTTGTCTCATCTGTGATTTGATAAAAAGTAAATTTATCGAGATCAGTGCCCCATATTGCTATTGTCCAAGCTACTGATGCTGTCATGCCATGTTGAGAGCACACCCGTAAAAGGACAGCCATTACGCAAGCTTCAACAAATTTGGCCACTCAGGAGAAAGTGGTCTTTTAGATGGCTTGTTTGAGACAAAAGATGAACTTAAGGGCTGCATGAAGGGCTTTTTAAGAGTGGATCATGCAAAGCTACTCTAGCTGAGTCTCAGAATATAGAGTTGGAATTAGCAATAGGTGCACTTCCACTCATTTCATTATCATAACATCAAAGACTAAAGTCACACATAAAAACTACAGGAGCCAGCTAACTACATTTTCCCTGAGTATGTGCAACTTGTTTGCTGCAAAGCAAGGGATTCATCATGTAACTGTTGCCTTTTTTAGATTTTGGTATAAGATGCGAGGCCAGATGTAGCCAGGGATCACATTGTGGTCAAAAAACAGATATTGCTTATATTTGTTCCAGTGAGCTGACCAGAGCTCAGACTGCAGTCCCACTCACTGAACTGAAAGATGGCTGAATAAGTAAATAAGTGAATTAAAAAGATAGATATCGTTTGGAAACTGAGAGAAAGTCCCCTATCATGTACAGCATGTATATTTTCACCACACGTAATTGAGAGGGAGCATACAGTCTATGAGAGGGAGGGAGAGGCGAAGAGGCCGGCTGGAGCGACTCAGTGTCTGTGTATCACTCAGTGCCCACATTCACTGTGCTGTATACAGTAAGTGAACAAATGAATGCACTGTTTCCTCACAATGAAAGGATCACAACAGCCTCAGCCACATGTTTTTTTATATTTCAGGTTTCGTCACGCATTGTATGACACACACACACAAACACATACACACACACTCCGTTTAGTGAGCATATCCCTAAAGTGGGCCCCTTTTCAAAATCTCAAAAACTCATATGACCAGAGAAGATACACCCTCATTCAACCCTTAAAGTAATGTTTGTCTTTCAGTTAATTACAGGATGTTTGGAGTGACGCCCAGCATGGAGCCTGTGGAGAGGGATAATGAAACTCAGACAGATGCTTCTATTGCCATTGAGATTGTGGTACTGTGTTTTATCTTCGAGATGTACATATTTGAATGTTATACGATTTAATTTGTGCATCATTTCCATACTTTCACCTTTGTCTTCCTCATGCCTCTGAAATACCAAAACAAGACTAAATCTTCAGCCATGCTAGTAGCTCTTTGATGCCATACTTACGCACAGTGGTGCTTTAGCTTTCAGTGAGTAAGGTTATCATTTTTGCTATCTGAGTTTAGCATGTTAGTATTCTTTATCATTTGCTAAGTAGCACTTGACACACAGTACCCCTGAATATCCCAATTGTCAGTATAAACTGTCATAAACCAAAATATGTTTGGAGGGAGTTTCCCTTCAAGTTGACCTTTTACCTTTCACGTGAGTGGAGACGCTGTTAGCAGCAAAATCTCAATGAAGTTTCAATTCGACCATTAACCGGTTCATGGTACATTTAGATTGATCCAGGGGTCTGCATGTGCTACATTAAAACCTCATCCACTGAAGATGAGTGATGAGCTTTACTGTTAACTGTTGTTGAATTGTATCTTATTTTAGACCCCTGAAGGTATGATTTTACCACTTGATCCAGTCTCCCTAACATCAGGCATACACTCTGGACATTACAAACTCACTGAAATTGTCAGTTAAGTATTTATTTAAGTTTTATACACTTTGTTTTTGTTTGGAAGTGAATTTCCATATTTTGAATGTATGGTGAATGCACTTGTTTTACATTAACAAGATTAACGTCCACACCAAGACCAATGATGGTGTGAGCATCCACACCGCTAAATGGAAAAATTGATAAAGTTATTGATGATCTGTTGCTGCTGTACGTTGTACAGAAAAAAAAAAAAAAACAATAAAATTTCTTACTGAAATAAATCAATTCAATAGGGATATTTGTAGTTATTGTTATTAGTATAAGTATATGTTTGTGGTGTGGATTGCCCTTAAGAGTCTACAGCTGTGCTAGTGGCTCTGTAAGGCTGAACTAAGGCTTGTGTTTCTTTGCGCTAAATTCTAACATCACCATGCTAGCATGGTCACAGTGACAATGCTAGCATGATGATGTTTAGCAGTGTTAACTTCACATCATTGTTTAACATGTTAACACAAAATACAGACAAGGCTGATGGGAATGTCATTAGTCCTGCCAGAATCTAGTCATGAAGTAAGTATTAGATAAAGTTGGACTTGAAGCTTCAGCCTGAGGAGGACATGAATGCCTTTACCAAATTGAATTGCAATCCATCCAATAGTTTTAGAGAAAATTCATTTTAAACCCACTAATATCAGCATGGTGGGGTTAGAGTTAATGTTATGGTATCAGCAGTATCAGTAGGATTCATCCTCTGGAGAGCACAAATGTTTGTACAGAATTTAATGGCAATCGATCTGATAGTTGTGATATTTCAGTCTAGACTTGAGTTGTGGTCCAACATCCCCATCTCTATAGCCACATACTAGCATGGCGAAAAAGACAATTCTCATGAGCAAGATAGCTCATTTGATTACATAACTATGTATTTCTGGATGCTTTCACATTAAACCTGCGAATAAACTTGAAACTGGTGTCTGTGTTACATTTATGATATTATTCATTTTAGACACTTTTCAGTTACATAATATCCTAGCTATGTCAAATATATATATATATATATAGGATATTTAGAAGTCTCAAATACAAAAACACAATTTCTGAAGAAATTATTTAAACCGATGAAACTCTCCTGTGGTCCTATCTACAGTAGCCCAGAATGGACAAACAGAATCAGAATCAGAAATACTTTAATAATCCCCCCAAAAAAAAAACAATTACCAAACCAAACACTTTTACACTTTTTGTTATAAAGATTCACGACCACTGTAGTGTCTTCTTTGTGCTTGGTTAAGTCAAGGAGTTTTAGCTGGTTGCAGTCTGCCGTCTAGATTCCTCTAAATCCCATACACTGGTCTTTTAATGTAAAGTTTTGAGAAGTCTAAAATAATCTTCCCCACCAAACAAAAAAAATACAAAAGTGATCTACTTTCAAAGTAAAAAGTTCAAAAGTCTTTACTCTCTGTCCCTTATTAAAAACACAAGTTAGTAGTATCTGTGTAAGACATTCTTGTGTGTGTGTGTGTGTGTGTGTGTGTGTGTAGTATCGGACTGTGGAAGGTGGTGGCCAGGTTCCACAGCAACCCACAGCTGAGCTACTCTGCAGAGTTTGAGGTTAAAGAATATGGTGAGTCAGGGGGCCTCTTTAACTGTTAATCTTTTAATCTTTTATCAAAACAGATACCACTTGTAATTATTTTTTTGATTGGACACACAATAGAAAGCATTTTACTTTTTAGTGCTGCCCAGTTTTGAGGTTAAGCTGACGCTTGAGAGCCCCTTCTTCTACGTGGACAGTCAAGAGTTCACCGTTAGCATCAAAGCTACGTATGTATGAAGTTTTTGTTTTGTGGAGAGAGTTTAGAGATCTGATTTGATTGGTAGCTTGTGGTTACATTTTATCTATAATCATTTTGTAACTTCTGTTTTAGCTTACTGTGAAATAAACAAACTTTTGCCTTGGGGTTTTAGATATCTGTTTGGTGAAGAGGTGGATGGTACAGCCTACGGGGTATTTGGGGTTATGCATGAAGGTCACAAAAAGAGCCTTCCCAGCTCTCTTCAAAGAGTGCAGGTTAGTACATACACATTTCCTCCATTACTGTCTAACAGCCAGTCGATTAGTCATTACATCTTCGATTATTTTCTCTCAGACTCTTTTTCTCTTGCTTACAAGCACAAACCTCAGCTCCAAAATATAAAATTACATTTAGTAAGTATTTTTAATTGATGTCATATCAGATCATGAGCGGTAAAGGGGAGGTCAAACTGAAGAAAGAGCACATCATACAGACCTTCCAAAACATCTCTGACCTGGAGGGGAGTTCCTTATTTGTAGCTGTCGGTGTGCTGACGGAGACTGGTAAGAGACAGTGTTTGCCTGCTTAACGATTCCGCTTATTGGTTCCGCTCGTTGCAAATGCGTCATGACGTCACACACGCGCTGCGTTGTTTTGGTTCAGAACGCAGCAAACATGGCGTTGAGGCAGAAGTGCTTTAAAGTTTGGTTATATTTCACGCGAAAAGACGACAATACGGTCACTTGCAACACTTGTAAAGTTTCCATTTCGTCAAAGGGAGGAACTACCTCTAATATGCAGAAACATTTGGCCAGCCGCATGACAGTTCATTTGCAGGTACTGTCGCGGGTGTTATGATTACATACAGTTTAGCGCACAAGTGAGTCAAGCAGCAGCGTAGCTAACGGGACACCATCTGTTATTATTGCCGAAGGTAACTTTCAACTCTCCATGAATGCACAAAAGTTGCATGTTTTTATATCAGTATAGTTCTATTTTATTAATTCTTAGTCCTACCATATATTTTCTGTAGGGAGATGATAAAGACTCTCAACCCAAAATACAATGCCCCAAACAGAGACAGTTTAACAAATTATCTGATTCCTGCTTGGTATGGGGTTGAAAAGAGCAATCTGATCACAGACCTGAAACATGTCACACATGCAGCCATCACAGCAGATAGTTGGACTAGTTTCAGTCAAGACCACTACCTCACCGTAACATTGCACTATGTCAGGGAAGGCCAGAGTATAGAAAAAGTCCTCAAAACCAAAGCAGTGTACAAAGCTCAAACAGGGACAGCTGTGGCCAAGGAGATTGAGGGGATCCTGGAGGAGTTTGGAGTGAAAGAGAAGGTGGTGGCAGCAACTGTGGATAACACAGCAAACATGGATGTAGCTGTGAAAAAGCTAAACATCATCAAGTTTCCATGTTTTGCGCACCCACTTAACCTTGGAGCTCAGAAGCTGTACAACTGCAATACAGTTTCCAACTGGGCAGCAAGGATTCGTTCTGTGACTGTATGGATGAACAGATCCCACATGGCTAAAGTAGTCATGAAGGAAAAGCAACAACTCCTCAGTAAGTAATATGCCTACTGTTTAAATACTTTAATTGCAAGCTAATGACATACAAATTGTAACATATAAATGAACAGATTAGGATCAATTTAAAAATGATAAAGTAATGGTAATATTACATTGTTTAATGTAATCTCATAATCTTGTGTGTTTGTATGTGTGTGTGTGTGTGTGTGTGCCTGCAGAGCTGCCCCAGCACATGCTCCTTTTAGATGTGAGGACGAGATGGAACTCTGTATTTGATGATGGAGAGATTTTGTGAACAGTTTCCTGCTATCCAAGCTGCAGCTATAGACCAACTTCTTAGAAAGCCCATGGAGAAGGAGAAGTAACTAATGTTTGAAAAAAATTAAAATGACTTATATAAAACTTGGTTGATTATAGCCATTAAAAGGGTTATGTTTCTTGTTTATGCAATATATATTTTTTGTTTTGTTTATGTTGCAGACTGGCCAGAATGGGCAATGAGGACCTCAGGAAAGCAAAGGAGTTTGTGCTGCTGATAAGGATGCATTACACATCCACACTTGCCGTCTCCAGCGAAAAAAGTCCAACCTGTGGCCAGATATTGCCCATCCTTCAGAAACTGCGCAAACATTACACAGTGCAGGCAGACGACTCTGCATTCGTCAGGAGCGTCAAGGAAAACATCTGGAATGATCTTTTCAAACGTTACCAGGTACAGTCACTGACATGTAATGATGAATTACTATATGCAGGGTGCGAACTACGGGGGAGCCAGGGGGGTCTCAGCCCCCCTTAATGAGACATGAGCTCCCCTGAAAAAATGATTTGTGAAATTTTGGGGGGGGGTCTCTAAAATATTGGCAAAATGCTGTTTTTCCTATGAAAAAGAGGCCGCCATTGTTTACCTTTTTCTCTTCTATGCCGTAGAAATATGCGAAAGCGGTACTTTGCTCAGTTGCCCACCCGGGAATGTCTGGTCAGGAGAAAGTACAAGCAACTATGTTCGCGACCACCGCTAGCGCAAGTAATAAATTAGTTACCCGGCGTGTCCTGTGACGTCCACGTTGTTCGTTGGCGCGAGCCAGGATCGCAGTGCGGAGTCCTACAAAAACGCTTTACCCCCTCCCCTGGTCAACACAATGGTGGCTCGATTTGCATCCATATAAGATAACCCTACCCCACGGCAGCAAGATGAACAGC